TTTACTTTATAAATGAACTTAAGTGAAGTGATCCTTCATAAGGACTAGAGTGTGTGCTGATTATCTCTAGTCCCTGAGATGTTGCCTTTCTAGGACTAGGAGGATCAGGATAGCACCTGGTGTTACTTCTCTTTGAGGAACTTGTACCTGAAATAGTGTTGTTTGTAAATGATGTGTTTTAATTTAAAATTATTTTGCTATAAATGTCATTTGAAGCTTAAAATTCCACCTTTCATGTGTGGAAGATGGTTTGTTAAGGAACAGTAATCCTTAAGCAGGGGCATCACTCGCTGGCAGAGCACATTCTCCAGCATAGGCTGGGCCCTATATTGATACGCAGCCCACCTAAAAAAAGGCTCTATTTTAATATTGATTTTTAAGAATTTACAAGATTCTCTTACACATACAGTCTAGTTTAATTTTAAAAGAATCTAGTGCTAGGTGATGTTGGTTTCATTTCTCAGGTGAAGAACTTGAGGCATATTTTCTTTTTGCAGGTACAATGTCACTTTATTGGGACTGAAATTTATGACTTTGGACAATTTTTTTTTTTTTTTTTTTTTTTTTTTTTTTTTTTTTTTTTTTTTTTTTTTTTTTTTTTGGTATTTTTGAGACAGGGTCTCCCTGTAGCCCCAGCTGTTCTGGAATTCACTACATAGACCAGGCTGGCCTTGAACTTAGAGATCTGGCTGCCTCTGCCTTCCAAGTGCTGGGACTAAAGGCATGTGCCACCACGCCTGGCAACTTTGGACAATTTTTAAAAATATACTGTCAGTTGATTCTCATGAATACTAAATTGTCAATGGGATTTATATATATATAAAAATACATTTTATGGATTGTTCTGTTACACACGCTGGGCAGAACAATACCTATGTTCTAATGTCTGTTCTTAAAAATCATGTAATGCTAAAATTTATAGAATTTTAGAAATATATTTTCTGTTTGTTGACACACAGATTTCCCCACATAGTGTACACCTATACAGACACGTTCATATTGCATATGAACTGAAAGATATGACTATGCTTAGATAGCCCCAGGATTAATGGGAATAATGTTATAAATAACAACTATAATTATACTAAATAACAATGTTTGAACATAAAATTTTTTGTGAAGATAGAATTTTCTTTAGCTCTTTCTATAAAAAAGAAACCCATAAATTATAGTTGTTTTAATTTCCTGATTTTTTTTGTCTGTTCCTTTAAAGGAAAGATATATTTAGAGGGGACCTTAAACTTGTAGAGATTTTGAACCAGTGCTAACCAGTGCTAACAAAGTATCTTCCTTTATTTTATATCTAAATTTTGCTCATAGAATACTATTAAGATCATTTTTCTTTCTCCTCTGTGGATGTTAGTTACTGAGGCTTCAAGATATTTTAAAAATATAACACATTTGTGTTCCATTTTGCACCTTCAAGTTCATCTGGTAAAAAAAAATCATCTGCAATTTTACTCGTGAATAGTTCCAAGTATTCTGATAGAGTATGCCAGAGAAGTAGGAAAGCATGCTGCTAGGCTGGGTAGTCACAGGTGATGGAGGATGTACATGTGTATGTGGACATTTAAGACAGTTTATAGGGTCTGAAGTGTAGAAAGGGGAAATGGGTGTAGTTACAGAGTAGAGGGAATAAACACAGCATATTTGATTATATGGCAAAGAAACTTGTGCGGTGGACAGTGAGGAATAAAATAGAATAAAAACAGGGAAGTTAACAGAAGGTCAGAGCAGAATAGAATGAACGGTGTACGAGTGCATAGACCAAGCTTTCCTAACGCTTATTAGTTCCACTGATGAAGTGGTTTTCAAGGAGATAGCAGAGCTGGCTGTTAGGTGCTTAGTAAATGATATGAAATACTGGGAAGAATCACAGCCACACCTAGAGGGTGAAGTGTCTTTGGCCTGGAGGTGACAGATGACTTGGGGGCAGATGAGTCACTGCTCCAAAGCAGGGCATTTTGCTTTGTGCTGGGTCATAGTCATTTATTTATTCTACGTGTCTCTTCCTGCTGATTCCCACTGACATTTTTCTTATTCGATATTTAGGAAGAAAATAGCATAAGATAACCACTGCTGCAGATTCAGAATTGAGAATTTATTTTAAAATTGAGCTGATTATTATTGTTGTTGTTGTTGTTATTGGAAAGTTGTGCCTCTTGTAAGACTTAAGAGTGATCAGTCTTATTTGCCTCTGTCATGTTAATTGCAGCATTTACAAAATTTACATTGCAGTTAAGTTTGGCAAATCTTTACTAAGTACTTCTTGTGAGACATATCATATCCTCAGGAGTAAAAGAGGAGGGGTCTGCAAAAATTAAGAAACATTTAAAAAGATTATTGATCTGATTGGAACAGTGGGTGCATAGGAAGTGTAGTGGTAGAAAAGATTAAAAGTACAAGCTCTTATATTAAATGGTGCTGTTGAAGGCCTTGAGACTTTAATGTTATTAGGTTCTTAGATAGCCTTGAGAAATGTATTGAGGAGTTGTTTTAGGTTTGCAGATGGTACAAATAGAAACATTGTCTCTTTTGTACTGTTCTGTTTGATTCAATAGCTTCAGTAGCTTTTTCTTAAAATTTGTTTAAATAGATTATCAATTTCTCAAATACCCAGAATATTAAGTAGCATCAGAAATGCTATGTATACTAACTACTATGAAATCTTAGTTTCAGGATCCACCTGAATGGAGAATAATTGCATAAAGTAAATGATTACTTGGAAAGGAAAACAGAAGCTTTGTCATGGATCATGTAGGCTCAAGAAACCTATACTCAGGTTATATACTCACATCTAAAGACTGGCAGCCAGGATCCACAAATAAGAGAGAACTTGAGGTTGTTTCCTTGTGAAGAGAGCATCAGTGAACATGGCTGAGCAAGTGATGCTGAAGTAGGATAACGAATCATTTGGACATATGCCAAGAAGTGGTATATCTGGGTCCTGTGTGGTGCATCTATTTTTAGCTTTTTGAGAATTCTACACACTGATTTGCGTAGTGGCTGAACAACTTTGCACTTCCACCAACAGTGAGAGTTTAGCATGTGTTGTCAGTTGTTTTCTTGATCTTAGCCATTCTAGAAGTCTAGGGTATGAGGAAACCTCAAAGTAGTTGCATTTTCCTGATTGCCAGAGATGTTGAACACGTTTGAAAGATATTCCTTAGCTTAGCTATCTTTATTTATTTTGAGAGCTCTTTGTTCAGATCCATATCCCTGGTTTTCTGTAACTTAACCATTGAAGTGAAGTGATTGGTGTCAAGGATTAAGAATTAAGCAGGACATCCACATCTGACCATCTGAATATAGAGAAACAGGCAAAGATGGCCAGAACCATGGACAGCTCCTACAAGCTGTGGTGGTGATCTGAAACCACCTCTTCAAATAATTGTGACTACCATGGAAAGCCTTCTGTTTCCTCATCTGCAATGTGGTAATATCTATTCTGTGTAGTCCTTAGGAAGCACATTAATTGATAAATTACAAATTAAAGTATGTGTCTGTGATACAAATTTATTAATGTTGTTTTTATTAACCTTTCTACTTGAATCATTGATTTTGTATACCTAAGATTGTATTAAAGAAAATTTCTGGCTTCTTCTAATGTGATGGGATGAGAGTTAAATTAGCTAATAATAAATCAGAATACTAGAAACAGATAAGCACTTTATTGCGAAGTAGGATCTGTTACATAGATTGTGGGTTCAGATATAGGTTCCTATTATACCCCACACACACTTTTCATAACAACTTCGTGTGCCTAGTAGAAAGTAGAGGAATCAGCCCACATCGTACTCTATCTCACAGCGTATTACTCCTGTTACTGCTGATGCAGTAAATGTTGGCATCTAGATACACAGGGTTTTTTTTTGTTGTTGTTTGTTTTGTTTTATGTTTTCCCTGTGGCAGAAAGCAGGAGAGAAAGAGAGGCTAAGAAACACACTTCAGGTACCAACCAGAGGTCACCAAGGAGACCTGGGGGCTAGGAGCTGGAACCAGGTCTCTAGAAGCCCCTATAGACATAAGTGAGCCCGGCTCACTGAGATAACCCACATTTCTGTCAAGATTACTGCAAGCTGACCATGGGGAGATCTTCTGCAAGAACTCTCAACCAAGAGACTCCTGAAGGAAATTAAAAAATCACACTTCATTATCTGTGTGTAGTACTTTGTGTAATACAGTGATGTCTTAGGAAAACACGTAGCTGCCTTTACAGTTACAGGTTTTAAAAAGAACTCAACATGCTTATCTTTGATGAAACCACAGTTTCTTCTTGTGATTTTTGTCATACATTCTTACTATCCCTATTTTTAATCATTGTTTCAGAAAATACTACTGTATTTATTTTAATAACATGAATTTTGTATGTGAAGAATGATAATTTGCAGATGTTAATTGATGAAATTGATGAAATGTGCAATAATGAGTAGCAAAGAATTGCCCTGAACATCTTTCCATGTGGTTTGTTTTATGCATGTAAGGATATACACAGCTAGAATAGAATGCAGTCCTTTTATCTGGAGTCATCTGGGCCCATTTCTTCTTTAATAGTTTAATATATGCTTGTGATTATCTGTTCAATAGTCTATTGAGGAATAAGTTGAACAAGTGGCAATTTTCTACCTAGGAGCATTTTAGATCCATTATCAGAGGGAAATTATTATTGTGTGATGCTGCTGTTTTTTAGTACGTTCAAAGGAAAATATTAGCAGTTGGGTGATTGTATAGTGATTTGTGTAACAGAAAGAACACAAAACTGGGGCTGAAATCAGAAGGTGCAGGTTTGAATTCTTGCTTCAGTACCCACAAGATCATGACCTTTGTTAAACTGCCTAGACATTCTGAGCTACAATGTGCTGCTACGCGACCACACCAAAGTTAGAGACTAGCTCAAAGTTACCTTAGGTGGTTGTTCTAAAAGTGCTTGAAGCTTTAAAACACATTTTAAAAGGAAATAAACTCTTGATAATGATTCCTTTTTGTGGTTATTTCTACAGAAAGTGAGTGAGAAGGTTGGAGGAGCCGAAGGGACCAAGCTAGATGATGACTTCAAAGAGATGGAACGGGTGAGTCCTCACTCCTGGCCTTCCTTTGGAAGAAATTAGTTCCTGTAAGAGGAAGCATCTCTGTACTAGCATCTCAGAAGAGGCTGTGTTCTTTTAAGAAGCACTCCATTCACTACACATTTCAAATAGAAAACCCAGAGGGTTCTGTCTTCTCTTACTGTCCTGAGATGTTTTAGTGCACTCTTCCTAATTAGTTTTAGCATGGCATTTTCAACTAAGGCCAGTGGAGAGCTGGTGGTTGAATTTGAGTGAAGTGGGAAGGAAAAAGGAGCAAATGAATGATTTCTCAAATGTCTGAGGGAGACTTTGCGTCCCTGTCTGACTGCATAGGACTTCCTCTTGGTGCCAGCCAGAGGTAGCACAGAGCAGTTGGTGGGGGCGGGGGGGGGTGGTTCCAGTTTACCTGGCCCAAAGTCTTCTGCCAATTATTGCTGTTATTTCTTTTTTATTTTTATATGACAGCAAAATGAGAATATCGTTATTCACCTGAAGAATTTTAGTTACAGATTGAAGATCATATAAATGTTTTTTAGCATTCTAAAACATTACCAGTTTTCAACAAGAAAGACTTGTAAACTAAGTATCTCTTCATTTTTCTTGAGACATAAGCTATATTTTCTCTTTCAACTTGAGGTCATTCATAGTAAGAAATATTTAGACTTAATGTCAAGAGTTCATGTTAAAATGTTCAAAGAAATATTGTAGGAGTTAAATTGCTGGCTCTGTATCTCAAGAGAATGTGGTCAGCCTGTGATCGTCAGAAACCATATCTAAGCATTTTTAAGAATTTGCTTCTGTAAATTAGTGTAACAAATATTTTTCTTTATTTGATTGTGACTCTGTTGGTGTTTTTAGGGGCCTAGTGTTTTCTTAGTCCACCTCATTTCCAGTGGGCTGCCTCAGTTATGCTATTTTTATTATGTTTGTGAAGAGTGACACAAAGAATGTTCCTGGATGCTTCTACCTTTCAATTTTCCTACTGATGAATTTATGGGTCAACTAAAAAAAAAAGGCCTTGAGTTAGGCCTCCTATGAGCCAGTGATGTAGGATATAGATAAGGCTTGAATATGTGAAGTTCATAGTGTAGTGGGGAGAACTGACACAATGTAAAATGACAGTGTAGTGTGGTTAAGAAAGCTTAGTGCTAGACACTTCTGGTACACATGATGCTCATTTATATGTCACATGATCTTCAATCAAAGATGGTAACCACCAATTTCCATATTTCATATTTAGATGGGTATCATAGTGTCTTTAATTCCAGCTCTCATGAGGCAGAGGCAGCCAGATCTCTATGAGATCAAGGCCAGCCTGGTCAAGTTACAGGACAGCAGGGAACTGGGGCTACAAGGAAAACTTGTCTTAAAAAAAAAGAAAGAAAGAAACAGTAGCCTATGTATCTTTCATCAGCATCAGTCTGCCACCACTGACACACATTCCCAGAATGACAGCTTTGTGTCCTCTACTCCTTGCCCCTCGTGAGGAACAGCCCCAGGAAGCTGTTGATGTGCACCAGCCTGTCTACTTAGTCCTTCAGATTCTCTACTCTTCTCTCCTCATCTCCCCCTAGAGCGTCTATATTGCAGCACATAGCTAAGTACCATGACAGATTAAGCAGGTGTTTAGGAATTTAAAATTGTCAGGTGTCAAAAGTTAGTCCTGCATCTAGCATCTGCTAAGACTAAGGCTAATAAGCTAGGTAGCTTACTGTCTAAGCTAAGATAAACCAATTCTTTGTTTCTTAAATGAGACTAAAACTATAGGAAATTTGGAGAATAGAGTTTAATCACTGAACAACTAATTAGACCTTCAGAGACTTGCTTTGCTCTGAAATCTATGCCAGTCTTACAAACTAATTACAATAAAAGAGGATCTTGCCAAGCATTTTACTTTAGGCAAATAGCCAGACATCCCTCAGAGTCTGAAGATGATGTGTAAGATTTCTTTTTCCCATTTCTTAGAAAGTTTATTAGTCCTTTATTTTAAAATCTAGATATTCCTTTAATAAAGTAGACATGATTGAAGAATTTACCTATGGTCCTGTACTTGAGTTTTTCCTCTTAAGTAAATTCAGAGATTTAGATTTCAATACGTTACAGAAATTGTTTTTTTCCCCTTTATGTATCTTTTGATTTATCATTATTCTGTGATGCTTATCAAGTTTTGTACTCTACCTATGTTTACTATACTTAAAAGTAGACTTCTGTAGACATTGAAAAATGTTTTCTGTTCATTTAGAATCTCATGTCTTTAATATTTCTGTTAGTCAAGTACTCATAGAAATGTTTTAACTCAGTGTTCCCAAGCCTCCAGAAGCATCATCATATCATCCTTCCACAGTTGATTTTCTGATCATCAAGCATTTATTTAGTCGTAACCACAGAGATGCAGGTAGATAACAATATGAAATAAATTAGAAATATGCACCAAATAGCACTCCTGGGAGAGAGTGGTGGATATTCCTAGAGGTTTTCCCTAATCTCGGACTGCTCAGATGAAACCCCTTTGTGTGTCTCAGCAGCCTACCTTCCCTGTCTGACGTCTGGAGACCTCTGGTATGTTGTCTCCGCAGGATCCTTGGCCCTAATCATTACTTTCTTTCTCTTACGTATCTTATATGGAGTTGCTGTAAATGTTATCTGTTACTTACAAACTTCATGAAATGGAGGCTAAATTCCTTTCTATGATCCAGACATTGGGCAAATTTCTTCTTTATAAAACTACAGAATTTTTGTTAATGGGAAATGGTGGAATTTGGGGAACTTCTGGATTTCCCTCAAATTTCTATCATTGCTAGTTATTCGGTTGTTGTTTTTATGTGTTGGTGTTTAGCTACATTCATTAATTCCCTTGGAAAATCTGCAAATGCCTTTGGAAAATGTAAATAGGCTAGATGTTGTGCTGGGTACTAGAAATACAGAGATGCATGAGGCCCAATCCCTGCCTTCAAGGGGCTTTCAGTTTCCTTGGAAAACAGAATGGGCACATAAATAGGCAGCAAATAGGACATAATCCTATAACCGAGCTGAATCCTGAAATTTTCTCTTTCATTGACTGTGTGAAATGCAGGACTCCTGGTCAAGGGGGACACCAGCATGGTGTCTCTCTTCCCTGTGAAGGGCATTCTGGGGAATTCCTTCTAGTTAAACCTAAGGTGCTCTGGGGCTAGGAACATGGAAATGAGCCCTTTAGTAAAATAGAATTCTTAAGGAGGAGCTTCAAGTTTTAAGAAAGGCAGGATGCTGAGAAAGGAATGAAAGACTCTATTCTAGTTGAGTGTGAGAGGGCGGGGACTCAGCAGAGGGGAATGTGGAGAAAGGCTGGTGGTGTCCACAGCTGTGTCCTCACATACTTAACCCTTAGTGGGAGAAGTAGGATTAGTGAGTAGAAACCATGTGGGATAGATTATGGCTCACTTTAAGGTAGCACTTTTGGTCATCAAAACTGTTTTGAAGAAATACCACAGAAATAACCAAATTCCCTACCCACCTGTACTGAAACAGAGGCCAAACCTGTAGTTTCCTGTATCATGGGAAGCATACTAGTCATCGCTTGAGTTTTGTAGCAAGTAATTTGCCACTAACATTGTCAATTTTCATGGCATCACTCTAGAGTTCTAGTGATCTGTCTCAAATTAGAGAGAAGCGAGGAAAGCTCCAGCCAATATGTTCAAAACAATACCTTCTCAGAGTGGACCTGGCACTTGCTATGGCACTGAGTTCTTCATGGTGGTAGTGAAGGAGAGGCCAGTCACTGGCCTAAGGCACTCACCTGCTGTATGAAGCTGACTATCACTATTCTCTTCCATTTTATTAAAAGGCTTATTTCCATGTTCCTAGCCCCAAAGCACCTTGTGGTTTGACTGGGAAGAAGTTCCCAGAATGTTTTTCAGGTGGCAGTAGGCTGTATGAAGGGCATGTGCCACAAACAAGATGGTTTCAAAGACATTCTTTTGCTTGGCCTGACATTCCATGGAGACAGGCTTCCTCTCAGTTGCATGATTATAGTTTATTTCCAGACTTATACTCATTAAAATGGTAACGCTTAGGAAGATTAACAAAATTAAAATTAATACATTAGAGTAATCTGAGCCTAATACTACTTTTTCATTTTCAAAATTCTGTGTATCAGAGTTTCTGAATATATATGCTACCTCCTTTAAAGCCAGGCAGTTTGAAGACAGACAGGCTTGTTAATGCTCACAGAGACACTAGGGAGTTGTTAAAAATACTGCTCCTCGATCAGCCTGCCAGACAACCTTTCCCAGGGCGCTATTTTCATCAGGTCCCTATGACTTGTTTATTTAGCTGTTCTCTTTCAGCACTTCAAATGAGTACGTGCATGTTCTTAACTTGTATCAGTGAATGTTAAGATTTGAGAAGATTTCGGTGTTTCATATGATACTTTAACTTATTTGATATATCTACTGTGAATTACCCTGTATCTAAGAGGGTGCTTAACTCATGTCATTATTATCGGTTGTCAAACCCACAGACTATCATGTAAGATGTTTAATTTTCTTGTAAACTCCTGTCTGTTTCTGGAAGCATCTGGAATAAGAGGCATCTGACAGTATGAAATAATGTTTTTCATAATTTCATTGCTTTGTAAAGGAGTCCATGTTTTTCATGTGTTTTCAAGTCCAGAAAACACTGATATGTATTTGTTCATGGAATAAAGGTGATAGTCAGATGTGTGTGGAGTTAGATGTGTGTGTTTTAGAGTTCTAGTATCATATCTCAAGACTGAGGCAACTGTTAATGGACAGCATTATAGGTTAAATATGGCATCCTCCAAGAAACACAGCTTAGTTCAGTCATCAGCACATTCTATTGGTAAACCTTTTAAGCTCTTTTGGCCAGAGGGACTTTGACCTCCTTGCTGCACTAGTCTCTAGGGCTGTTAGGGCACAAAAGGGGTCCATTGAAAGTGCTTAAATGAATGAGCATGGCTACATTTAATAGTGATAATAATAATAATAATAATAATAATAATAATAATCTTTTTAAAACCATTTTAAGTATGCAAAAACAGTACTGGTATAGATTCAACCCACTGGCTGTGGTTTGCCAACTGTTGATTTAGCATGAAGAAAAAAATTACTGTGTAGTAAAGGAAGTTGACAGAGTTGGTTTTGTATGTACTGCGTGTCGGAGTGTACATGCCACAGCGCGCCTGTGGAGGCCCTCACCTTCAGCCTTATTTGACACAGGGTCTCTTTTCTTGTTCACAGCTGTGTATGCTGGGCTGGCTGGCCTGCAAATGTCCTGGGATGCTCCCATCCCAGCTTCTAGTTGAGCAGCAGGGTCACACTGGAAACACAGATGCTTGTGCTGCCGTATCTGTCATTCATGTAGGTTGTGGGGTCCGAACGCAGCTCTTCAGGTCTTCAGACCCCACTCACTGAGCCATCTCCTCAACCCTGAGAGAGAGATTTTTTTTTTTAACTCAGAGTTGTGAATTTCAAGACTAGTTAATGGATTCCTTTCCCCTGTCTCTAAAGTACTGAGAGTTACTAAGTCCCTGGTATTGAGAAAACCGAAGTTAAAACACCCGCAGAGTACATGCCTACATGCCCGTGATTTTGCCTTAAGAAGAAAACCTTATCTCACATATTTATATTTTTTCAACAGTCTTCCCCATTGGCTCCTGTGTTAGAAGGTTGCTTCTTTTCTCCACTGTGATAACAAATGCCTGAGAGAAACAAGTTAAAGGAATAAGGGTTTTTTTGTTTTGTTTTTGTTTTGTTTTTGGTTTTGGGTTTTTTAGGAATAAGGGTTTATCATGACTTATAGTTTCTGAATTTTCAGTTCAGGATTATCTGGCTGTGTTGCTTTTTCTTCCCATAATAACACTTGTTGTGTGAGCTCAGGAAGCTCATTCCCCGTCCCTTGGCCTGTTTTGCACAGTTTAAGAACTGATGGTCGGAATAGAGAACTACTGCTCTTTTATTCTTGTGTCTATTAAATTTGGCAAATCATTATCTGTCAGACTCCAGAAAAGAGTAAGGGCCTAGTAAAAGAATTTTCTAAAAGCCCTTCCATGTTGGGCCTATATCCTGAAAAGAAAATACACAAATAACCATATTGGATGAAATTCTTTTCAAAAGTGAACTTCAAGTAAGGGTTATTTTAGATAAAATTCATTCTATAATAATACCTGGATTAGGTAACTTAGAGGTGTTGAAGGAATTTGCATCAGTAAGCACAGATTAGTCTGTTCTGTCACTTCCTTAGGAAACTTCGATCAGACCACAGGAAACACAGGGATTTTTTTGTTGTTTTTCCATCTTAAGGTTGAATCCTACTCTGAGAACTAAACATAATATTCTTACTATTGTTGTCTCCAAAGGCTCTGTGAAGATCTAGGACCACTGACTTGATCTTGTTGAGTATTTCCATCTTGAATATCCTTCCCTGTTGACGTCCTTGTGAGCACCTTTGGTTAGGTTCTTAATCTCTGTGTATGTTTTCTCCTCCATGTAAAGATTTAACTGTCTTTGGCAAGTTTCTAAGGGTAGAGAATGTCTTATGGTAGCGATGGTTATGATTGTTACTGAGGGAAAGCAATGGGAAAAGTGAGAAACTGGTCAGTGGTTGCCTCCTAGCAGCAGATGATACCACAGAAGTCTCAAGTCTTCTGACAATTTTTCTTAGAAATCTTGATTGACCTTTGGATTACATTTCTTCCTATCATTGCCACAGAGCTCATTTGACATCTACTTCCTCAATCCCTGTCTGTCTTACAGTCATCAGGAGATGTGCATTTGTCCCATAACTCTTTTGTTTTAACATTTACAAAAACTTTATTGAGAATTTCATATATGCGTATAAGGTGTTTTGATCGAATCCATGCCCACTCCCTCCCTCCCAACACCTCCCATGTCTCCCCATCACTTTTTTCTTTTTCTTTTTTCTTTTTTTTCTTTCATCTGTTTATTTTTATGTGCCCCAGGACTCGTGTTCTCTGGACTTTCAGCCTGTCTTCTGTGTACAGCCCTAGAATTCATTTCCCTGGTAGAAAGTATTCCATGACTTGAGTACATAGAGGTGAATTTGCATTTACTAATACTTTCAGGACCTACTTTTGCAGTCAACAAATCCAATGGGCTGCCACTCACTTTAGAACAATTCACTCAAATCTCAAGCACATTAAAAATTTGAGTCAATCAAAAGAACAGTGGTACAGGGTTTATAACCAGTCTGGTACATCTGAAAGAATACTTTTAAAAAAGTAATTTGATACCACACCAATGTCACAAAGAAACTCATATGTTTTTCTCTGTTTATCCCCATAATCACATCTGCATACAATGTTATGGCTGTGGTGGAATGGGAAATTATTAAATATTGGAAAACTGAACAAGATGAAATATTTAATGGATGTAGAGTGAAAGAGTACAAAACTGATTCCATACGAATGCAGTTAGTTTTAGAAATAAGAATCCTTGAATGCCAATTAAAAGCAAAGAAGCAAAAACAAAATTTTCAATGGCATGAAGATTCATTTGTCCCTACTGGTCATCCAGCTGTACTGTGGATGAGTGCCTCACACAGGCTGACTGAAAAAAAAAATTATGAAGTAAAGTAAGTGGCTGGAACTGTAGAGAGCAGCTCCTGTAGCCTGCTTTTGTGGGTCAGGGTGGGCTGCTCTAGGCAAATACTGATCACTCACAATTTTTAATAATCATTTTATGTGTATGAGTATTTTGCTTGCATGTGTATAACTGGACCTGTGTCATGCAGTGCCTGCAGAGGCCGGAAAAGGGTGTTGGATCCACTGGAACTGGAGTTCCAGATGGTTGTTAGCCACCATGTGGGTGCTGGGAGCTGAACCCAGGTCCTCTGCAAGAGCAGCCAGTGTTCTTAACTGCTGAGCCATCTCTCCAGATCCAACACTCACAATTTTTTGAGACAGATTTAAACACCAAGATTTTTAGTGTTAGACTTTGGTGTTTACAGTTAGCCAAACCAACTAGATATGTTTCTGAAGATGTGTATGTCCTGAAGATGTCAAAGTTACTCTCTTGAGTAAGTAGAATCGATGAAATATTCTTTTCTTTTTTATTATTTTTATTGTGAAATATATTATCGTGTGTGCACATGTGTGTATGATGTGTATGTAGGGATGTGCATGCCACAGCATGAGTACTGAAGTTGGAGGCAATTTTGTGGAGTCGGTTTTCTTCTTACATGAAATCTGGGAACTAAGCTCAGATCACCAGGCTTTATCTGCTCAGCCATTTCCCCATCCCAGTATTATTCTTCTTTACTGAAGAGAAACCTGTCATCAAGTCTGGCCCATTCTAGGCATCTGCTTGACAAAACAATATTGACTAGGTCTGTACTTATTTTACCAAAAGATAATGAAATATACTTTGAAACAAAGTTTAGGAAATCACCAGCTCCCTTTCTGGATGAGTAGGCTTTTCAAATCCTGATATACACCACTGAATGTGATGCCATCTTTTCCTCTAGGAGCTCCTCCGAGTTCCTCACTTTCTACAGCAGGACTTGTCACTGCCCCGTTACTCCACCAGTCGTCCTGTGTAGGCTTGAGAAAACGCCAAGGCTCTATAGTAAACAGTTGTGTCATTTTGTATATTTGTTTTCTCATTTCAGAAAGTGGATGTCACCAGCAGGGCTGTGATGGAAATAATGACTAAAACAATCGAATACCTTCAACCCAATCCAGGTAAGGCTTGTCTCTCAAAGTTGGAATATCCTCCAGATGCCTCTTACTGATTGACAAACTTATTGATTTGATATTCTCCTTCCTTAGTATAGTATTTTAGGGGTTCGATGTAGAACTTTGATGTGGGCAGGGGTAATTTTTTTTTGTTTTTATGAACAGCAATTCCATTGTACAGTTAGATGAAAAACAGGAAAGCAAAGGATGTCTGAACTAACCCCTCTCCTACAGAAGGCTTCTGTCTTCAATCTGGTATATTGTTTCTCCACCTTTTTAGTAGGCAAGATCTCATGTGCCTTGAAATCACTATGTAGCAAAGGCTGGCCGCGACTCCCAGTTTTCATCTCAACCTCCGGAGGGCTGGTATCACAGGCATGGGCTGCCACTCCCAGCTCTACTGTCATCCCTCACTTCAATCAGCCATTCAGTCTACTCTCACCAATCTTCACAGAAACACATTTTAGAGATTTCCTGAAAACACCATCATTCTGGCATGGTGTCAGTTGCTGTGCACAAACATCAGCACAACTCCTACTTGCACTTTTGGGAGGATATTTTTAGGGAAGTTGGAGTGGACTTTGGTCTAATACATCACTTGTTCAGAGATGGTCTTTGTTGTGTGAAGCTCCAGGCACTTGGACCACAGAGCAGAAAATTGAGTATCTTAGGTAGGAGTATGTCCCAATATATTTTAGAATATCCCACAACCTGCAGGGTATCAGAGATGTGGTGGCTAGATCAGAGCAATGCCTCTGTAGCCTAAAATAAAGCTGCTCTAATAGTATAATTTACTAGTCCCAATTGATTTTATGGTGGCTTCATCCTAGAAAATCAACAGGGCCATTTAGTGTCCATCAAAGCACTGTATAGTTGTTTTACCCCGTAACTAGGTCAGGAAGGAAATCTAGGTAGTTCCAGGCCCTTAAGAGCCTCTCGTCCTTTCCACTCTGGAGTTAATAATGGTTAAGGTAGATTCAAACATGAACTTTAGTAGCCTCTCCAAGCTAATGGCACCAGAAAATTACCCGGCTTTACAGAACTAGGAGAGGCACAGTTTTCTGAACCCACAGTTATGCTTTAGATATGTTTGGGATTTTATTGGGTTATTTTTAAAATTTATCTTATTTTTAAATTTTCTCATATTAAACTTTTATGTATTTCATATAATATATTCTGATGATATTTAGACTCCTCCATCTGCACCCCTCTTAAACCCTTCCCATCAGATTTCAAGTACCCTGTCATATATGTTAAGGCCTATCAAATCAAGTTTGTGACCCCAAATGTCCTTTGGTGTGCATCCATTCACTGGAGCCTGGTCAAACTAGCATCATGCCCTTAAAGAAAACCAACTCTTCCAGTAGTTGGGGAGGGGTCATTTTAAAGCTCACATTGAAGTAACTGTAGGGTGTGTGGTATTTTATCTAATTGTGTATTTTCACAGTGTAGACAGTTTGGGTGAAACATTGTGTCAGGGTAGCTACAAATTCTTATCAGCTGACCTTTAATTTTCAAGAGATAATAAGATTGAGGTAGTTTTGAGGTGAGTTATGACTCTCAAAAGTGTGGAAAAGAAAGGTAAATGGTTTGTGACATACAGATGGTTTGTGCTCAAATAGCATTAGAGTGTAATCTGTTCTTGCCTTTACCAGGCACATCACTGGTCAGCATTGGTTACTTCCCTTCCTATTTTATGAGTTTATAGTTTGAGAAGCATTTGTGTTAGTTTGTTTTTGAAGGTCTGGTAAAATTCACCAGTGAATCCATCTGGGCCTGGACTTTTGCATTCAGAGATTTTTATTACTGCTTTGATCTCATTACTTGTCACATTAATAAAATCTGTCAAAATTATTTATCTTATCCTGATTTAATTTTGGTAGGTCATATGTATAAAAGTCCATGTATTTCTTTTAAACATTCCAATTTGTGCAGTAGTTGTTTAAGGTCTGTTCTAATCATTTTATGAATTTCATTGGAATCTGTCATAGTTGCTCCCCTTTTCATCATTTTTTAAATATTCAAATGAAATAAAAACTATTCATAGTATTAAAATGTACTAAAAAGATATCATTGGACTGGGAGATGGTTCAGTGAGTACAATAATTAATTACCATGCAAGGGCTGACCCCTTGGTTCTGCTCCCCAGAACCCACATAAGCCCGATACCAACAGTGCAGTCCAGCATACCCTGACAAGGAACTGGGAAGCAGTGACAGGAGAGTCCCCAGAAGTTCCAGGGCCTGCTAGCCTGGGGTGTCCAGAAGTGAACAACAGAGGTACGGCGAGGCCTGGCACCTGGGGTTGTCATCGGCACCTGCATGCATGTTGTGGCACAGCTGTGCTTCACTCACACACAGATACACAAAATCTCATAGGGACCCATCACCCATCAATTTTTAAGGAAATTATGTTGTATCGCAGGCATATTGAGTTGAACAGTATATTTTCTCCTCCTTTCCTAAGGTCACATCTATGCAGACTTCATAATGTAAGCTTATTTGGAAATACTGTTTTAGTAAGAATTTTTTTGGTAAGGATAAACTCGTCCTAAATGTAACACAGGCCCTGAATCCAGTGTCAGGTCTCTTTAAAAAAAAATAAAAGAGGACGTAGAGAAATGCAGGGATATGACCAAGTGAATAATAAACAGAGATTGGAGTTGTGCTGTTACATGCAAAAGAGTGCAGGGAGCCAGCTCTGGCTAAGGGGGCAAGGGTGGAATCTCCTGTAATGTTTTTTCAGGAGATCAATCCTCTCAACAGTTCACATTTGGATTTCTGGCATCCTGGCCTATGAGAGAATAAATGTATGAAGCCTGTTAGGTTTGTGATAATTTGAAATGATGGCCCCAGAAAATGAGTATTATCAGGTAGCTTCATTTCACCCAGAAAAAAAGAAGCAAATGCCAGATAATTTAAGAAATGCCCTAGAGGGAATCAAGTCAGGATGAGGACCCAGGTGTGACTGCCTCTCAAGGCCATGCCCATCCGTTGCATGATGCTGCCTCTGAGCATGGGCACCACTTCATTTAGCACAGTCGCTTTTGCTCTATGTACCATGGAAATTCAGAAAAGAAACAGATTGTGATATTGAGATTTATTGTTATTTTGATAATAAAAGAGCAAAACATATAAGTGGAGGAATTATGATTGAAGAAAATTTTACAAATTACAGTGTAATAAGTGTGATTAGTTACCATTTTAATGATTTTATGACTCTAAGACCTGAACGCGCAAATGCCACCTACGACGAACAATAAGACCATCGCGAGGTGGACTCAGATTGGTTTCAGAAAAGCACTTGTTGGTAGGTCAATACAAATGCAAGGAAGTGGCACAAACAAATTTCATATTAACTGTTCCATACACTTTAGACATTCCGTATTTCTTGATTTATAGCAGAAATGGGTTGGTTTCTCTCTGAATTTCTTGGCCTGCATCAGACAAGGCACAGAGTACTTGTAAGGTGACTACTTATGTATGTTGGCTATTCAGAACCAGCTGGTTGTCCTTGAGAAGGTGACACAGGAGTCTGACCAAGCCAGAAGCACTTAGTGAGTACGTGGGCATAGTAGAGCAAAAAGATTCCCCAACTCATTTGTTTGGTTAAATACGTTCACCACTCAGCCTCATGAGGACCAAAACAGTGTCAACCCTACTGGATAACTGAGTATGAGTTCTCAATATGCAAGGTCTAGCTTGAGTTAGGTTAGGGTAGTGACTGATGTCAATGAACAGATTTATGTAGCTAGGCCACTGGAATCAGTAGACTGTAATGCTTTGGGGTCACTTCAAGGGTACCCTGTATTAGATTAATGTTCTAGGTGCTGGCTGAGTTTCATATTTTATGGTTGGGGGCTCTCACAACTTTTATTTTCTTTAAACTCAGTTCCCATTGAAATGACAACAAAGGAGATTTTGGTTGATTTTTCAGGAATTCATGGATATGCCCTGTGAAGGCTCCACATTCATTTCTGACTTCTTTCAGAGTGGTATTTTAAAATAGCAAATCTGATCATATTACTGTTTCTCATAAAACATTAAAGGGTTTTTCATCCCTTTAGGATTAAGTTTTACATTTTCGGTCTGGCTTAAAAGGGCCTCCCTACCTGACCAGCCTATGCATTTCCTTCCACCATGCAGGGCAGCTCTTTGAGGTCCCCTGCAAAGGTCATACAGAAGCCTTCCTTGGCACAGTCTCTTTTTTTTTGTCTTTTTGAGACAGGGTCTCTGACCTGAACTCACTATGTAGACCAGGCTGGCCTTGAACTCACAAAGATCCTCCTGCCTCTGCCTCCCTAGTGCTGGGATTAAAGGCGTGCGCCACCACGCCAGCTTGGCCCAGTCTCTCTTAATCCCAGCTGCTTTCCAGAGGAGATACAAGCCAAGCTTGTTTAAATTTGGTTTTGTTTCTCCCTCCTTTGAGGATGGTAGTGTGCCTGTCTTATTTCTGTTGCATTCCCAGGGCTAACCTTAGCCAGTAGGCTCTTGGTTGTAGATAAATGAGTTATAAAGCATAGATGGCTGGTAGATTACAGCTGCCAAATAAGGAGAAGAGGAAGAAACCTTCTTTTCCTCAGAATATCAGATCCATACATGCATACCATATTTATTACATGCATTTTATTTTATGTAAACACTAATTCTAGAATATGCTGGGGGGAAATGAAAACAAGATCAGGTGGCTCCTTTGAAATCCCATAGGACAACAGCCTACATTATAGTCTGAGGAGAATGGCCAAGGGGCTCCGTAGAAAATTCCTTCTGGAAGTTCCAGCTAACTTTTGTGGAAGGGAAGGGTGAATATGGTGTCACAGGCATGAAGTTCTGCCCCGTGAAGCAGAGCTTTGGAGAGTGTGAAACAGAGCTCTGAGCTCTTCCAACTTGAAGGTGAAACTGCTCAGACAGGAACAGCACAGCCAGCAGAGAGTCAAGCTGCTTAGCTAAAAATAACTTAATTAAAAAAAATTCATATGAAACCCAAAAACTGTGCACATTGAGGAG